TTCAGCACTTTTTCTTTTTTAATGCATAAACTGTTAAAGTTCCGGAAACTTTTCAGGACTGAGTGACGTTGATCGACAAACATGACAGAAACTGATCATTAAATTCAAACTTGAAGCTTCGTTGACGGTTAAACTCCAGATGAACACGTTCAGGATGTTGAACCGGTACCGGACCGGACCGGACCGGACCGGACCGGACCGGACCGACGAGTCGACCGGCCGACCGATGAACCGTTTCCTGGTCGTTGGCATGACCGTTGATATTTTGACTGATCGTTGGCTGGGTGGTTGCCGTGGTTACCGGGGTGAGGCTGTAGGAGGGTTTTACGGTCCGACCGGAGCCAGTTGTCTCTGAGTGTGTGGTCTCACCTGTCGTCTCACCTGTCGTCTCACCTGTCGTCAGCCGTCAGACAGAATCCGACAATAAGAGCCGAAGCAGTTCCGGTGTTTCAGTCTTTACTTCACGTGTCGGCGTTTTTGTGGGATGAACTCGTGTTAAATCCACCCGCTGGGCCTCAAACACAGACTTTATTTAATAGTAAATTCTCTCTGAAGTGGATTTTACACAGTTAACGACATTTTTAAGAAACGCTTGAGAACGAGTTTCTGCAAACAGCAAAACTTCCTGTATAATAATGACTAGATTTTACTTTTCTGCTTTTCTACGATAAATCAGCTCAGTATGAACTCGTTTTTCAGCTTTAGATGTGATGTTTGGCAGCTTTTCTGACCTTTAGATGGATGCTGACTTGCTGTTAATCAGCTGTAACAGAGTGAACTGCTCCTTTAACTGCCCGATGGATGCAGAGGTTCTGACATCGTCCAGGCTTTGCTCTCCAACTATCAGTGCTGATTGTGTCGCGTCATCATCCACATTATAAACTAAATGACTCCTGAAGGTGGATTATTTTATTTGAACTCCAGTCACACCAGTTTCATCGTCGTATCGCTGAGCAGCAGCGCTGAATAATGGATGTTCTGTCTGAACAGAACTCCACTTTCTCCTCCTCAGCCTCCATAAAACGGGCTGGATCCAGATGAAAGCTGCATCCTGGGCCCGTTTTTCCTTTTTTAATTCGAGTGTTTCATCCAGATGAAAGGAGGCTCGTCTGAGCCGTTAATGCTGCGTTCAGGATCAGAGGAAACTCGAACGCCGAGGCTGTAATTAAGAAGCTGCTGCAGGTCGGTTTGAGCTTCACCTGATCAGACGGAGAAGCTGAAGGTTGTTTTATTAAGAGATCCTATAAACAGCTCAGAAACTCACCGGATGCAACATGAAACGACGGATGTGGAAGACGATGCAGCAGAATCACAGTCGAGTCAGTTTTCAGTCCTGTGACGTGTGTTTGCTCCTTAATGTGTGGA